ATTCGATTATTTAGATTTATTTAAATTAAAAGCATTAGTTCTCTTTCATTGAAAAGCACTAGTTCTCTTTCAATGAAACAGAACTAGTGCTTTTAATTTAATTAAATAATTTAATTTGAAAATGTTAATTTCTGTTTTTGAAACATGTTAATTCCTGTATAGTGAAGGAACCATATTTTTAGATCAGTTAATTTATAATATTTATGCTCTGTAAAATTACATTGAGCACTATTTTGTAAAAAATAAAAATATCAATAAGAACACCGGATTATATATCTTGCTGTTTATTCTTATTTTTTATTATAATATATATATATATATATATATATATATATATATATATATATATATATATATATATATATATATATATATTTTTTTGCTGTATCGTATCACAGCTCCTCAGAGTGGCTAGACATCCGATCGATTCAAGTCGGGACCGACCCCCGACAGATATTTCATCAGTCAGCGATTCTAACCCCTAGGCTATCGACGCCAGGCAGAGAAAAAGGCGAATTTTTACGTATTTATTTTTTCATAAACACGCCAATGACCTAGAGAACTCAATCCAATTTGGTGAGTCTTGCATTATCAGCAGTAATAGTGACTGTTTACAAATTTGACCTTTTTTATGAATAATACAAATATAATTTTTATCGCTTAACTGATTTTATACTCAGCCCCTTTTCTACTGAGATTCGTAGACACATATTTCTATAATTGTTTGATTCACTAGTCAGGAAATGTTTGTCAATTTTCTCGTTTTCTTTATTTTTATATTAAGTTAAAAACAAAACTGCAATGTATCTTTGAATATCTTAAAAAAACTGTCAAAATACAAGGACCTTGAAGCGATAATCTACAAAATGTTGCACTTGAGAACAACAGCAACAGTTCCAGTTGTATTTGGAGCACTCGGATTGACTGGAAAAGCTTCCAATAGATTCAGTAAAGGGATTCCTTGTAGCTCATGCCTTAAAGAAATACAAAAATTAATCTCAAAAGTACAGCCTCGACGTTACGAAGGGCTTTATCTATGTAAAATATATGTAATTTTCTTTACAAAATTACTCAGTGGAAGATGTCATGATGCCATTTTTGACCTTAGATCTCTGGTCGGAATCCGGAAGGAAATGTGTACACACCAGAAATTCCGGGGAAAAAAAGAATAATAATGAAATTAATCCATTGCTGTATAAAGCTTGCGGAAAATCTTACCTGTTTTTACTTAATCTGCTTTGCTGGTTAATGATAATCTGATCTACCCTGGTGGACGGAATAGAGTTCAGTTCGAAATTCAAGTCATCTGAAGAAGGCCGGAGCATACAATGGCTGAAACGTCGTGAACATGGCAAAGAAGATGACGAAAATAAAAATAAGCGTCATGCAATAATGGGCGAAATAGTTTCAGATCCTAGCTTAGTAGGAGTTAATTTAATCGAAGAAGATATTAAAGTTATTAATTACTGTTGTAGTACCATACCTATGGACAATAATGGGTATGTCCCCATTCACATAAATACAGTAGTAAATACTGTATGTTGGTCTGCAGTTGGAGCTTCATCTCCAGCTGTGCTGGTCAAACTATCTGCCTTTGGGCAGAGAGCATCCCCAGACGAGGCTATATCGAAGCGCAGTCTCGTCTCGGGAAACAGCTACCCGACTCTGTTTTATACAGGGTCTACGGGGAATTTTTGGCCGAGCCTACACGCTTGGATACCCCACATTAAATTCGGCCTTGTGCCTTATCTGACCGCGTGGGGCGGTTGGTAGATATCCTGCAGTTGGAGATACATTGTGGAATTCATTTGACTCATTTCTAGCAGTTGACTTACTTCTTCTACGCGCTGCTGGCGAATCTTATATGTGTTGTTCTTGTCCCAAGTATTATCGTTTATTACCAACCTTCATTTGATTATTCTTTTCGGTAACCTTCCCTAAGTTACAACAATTATTTAATCCAGAGAGCGTCCAGAAATCTTTGGCCTATATTCTATTATTAGTGTGTCTGATATATACAGGGTTTGTCAGTGTTTTGATGAGAGGTCTTTAAAGAACTGTGTCTTCTAACGTATTTATTATCTTCTCTTCTCAGAGAAATAATGTCAAGCATTGAGTTGATTCGGCAAATGAAAAGGTACGTTGTAATCGTTGTTTTAAAAATCGCATTATAGTGATACAGAGGAAGGTGGCTTCCTGAAAGTTGACCGAACTTCTGTTTATCGATAGGTGTAATTCTTAAGATTATCTGCGCCAATTTATTTTCAAATGACGCTTTTATTCAGAAGCTATGCGTCATTTTTCTTTCATGCAGATGTCATAAAAAATGACACATACCGTACCTCTTATAGTCCGTATACCTCTGTAGTTCTACAAGAAGCGCACAAAATTGTACAATTCTACACAAATCTCCAACCCAGCCTAATGTAAGAATAGTGTATATACATTGTACCTAACATTTTGTATGAGGTAACCACCTTCCAATCTAAGGAATCCTGTGCTCTTTGAAGGCTAAGAAGCGTTCAGTTTTTATGACGCAAATGTTTCATCTAAATTCTGGCAAACATCTGGATACATTTATCAACGAATTTAATATGAGAAATATTTGTTTAATTTAAAGTCCCATAAGAGTCATAATCTCTTAAAGATATCAGATGTTTATAATTACTGGAACAGAAGTATACTTTTGGAATAAAACGCAGGTAATGCGTTATCGTTTTGAAATCTAAGACACTCGAAGAAAGGAAGCGTGACAATCTGCATGATCATGTTTTCCTTAATATATGCCCCCACGCCCCTAGCTAACCAAATCTGAATCCACTGGACGTATAAGGCGTAGTCGGGAGAGATTTCAGTCAACATCCTAGTAACGCCATAAAATCTCTCATCCGCCATAACTAGGACTATGTCATCATCTGATTCGGGCATGCTATGACCTCCGACCCCTTATCGAAGCAGCCATCGATTCTGACGGTGGTGGGTTCAATTTTTTTGAGGACAGGTCATTGAAGAGCTCTGTCTTCTGACTTATTTTTATTATTTTCTCTTCTCAGATTAATAATGTAAGGCATTGAGGTTGATTAAGCAAATGAAAAGGCACGCTCTAATCGTTGCCTTAAAAGCGCAATATGGTGATACAGAGAAAGATGGCTTCCTAAAAGTTGACCTATTATTTTTTTTAAACATTTAAACACCAAGCAAGATGGTAACGCTACTAGTACACCGGAGGTTACAGGGAGTGAAAGTGAAAGAAAAGACTGGGAATAGGGAGGATTGAGGAAAGGACAAAAGATGAATGGGATTCAAGAAAACAGAATATGGCAATTGACGTTGCATTTAAATTTTTGAATATTGTAGTTATCAGGGAAGCAAGTAAAAGTTTTTGAGATGTCTTTCAAGAGCTCTCTGTTCAAACTTATTTTTATTAGCATCTCTTTTCAGATTAATAATGTCAGATAGCTGAGCCTCCAAATGACCTACAATCTGTTGTTAACCGGGGCAAGAGACGGCTTGTTAATTTTAACGCCTCCAAAATGAAAATGATCTTTTTTAATGATCTGAGAGAGACTTTTTTGCTTTCCATCATCTTGGCTGATGCTAACCTCATGGGGCGTATTCAGGAGAGAGTTCAGTCAATACCCTCAGAACAGCATAAAATCTCTTGTCCGCCATAATCAAACCTATGTTCAAAATTGATCATCTGATACGGGCATGTCAACACTTCCGAGCAGCCATTGATTCTAATGGTGGTGGATTCAGTTTTTTGAGGACAGGTCTTTAAAGGACTGTCTTCTAACATTTTTATTATTAACTCAGATTAATAATGTAAGGCTTTGAGGTTTATCCGGCAAATGAAAAGACACGCTCTAATCGTTGCCTTAATAGCGCAATATAGTGATACCGAGAAAGATGGCTACCTAAAAGTTGACTTATCTTTCGTTTATCGGTAGGTGTAATTCTAAATATTCTCAAGATTATCTGCCCCAATTTGTTTTCAAATAAAGCTTTTCTTTCATGAGCTATGCGTCTTTATCTAAAATTCCTGCTAATGTCCTAAAACAGCTACGTATACAATATATATATATATATATATATATATATATATATATATATATATATAAATATATATATATATATGAAGAAATATACTCTTAAGGTGTACTATATTTATGGGATAAATTGCTCAATAACAGGGATATAGCGTGTGTAAATATAAAAGTGAACATTGACTTAGAGGCGACAAGCTGTTTCATGCTAGAGGCAATCGTCAGACCAATCGTCATATATATTTTTATATATATATATATATATATATATATATATATATATGAGTGTATATATATATATATATATATATATATATATATATATATATATCGTCAGGCCAATCGCCTATATATATATATATATATATATAAATATATATATATATATATATATATATATATATTTATATATATAAAGTGAACATTGAAGTCAACACTTAGAGGCGACAGGCTTTTTTCATGCTAGACGCAATCGTCAGGCCAATTGTCATGCCAATCGTCGTGGCCTGACGATTGCGTCTAGCATGAAACAGCCTGTCGCCTCTATGTTGACTTCAATGTTCACTTTTATATATATATATATATATATATATATATATATATATATATATATATATATATATATATATCATTAACATTACGAATTATCCTTAATTTGGGGCCTTTTAGTCTTTTTTACTTCGCAACTTTCACGATGTCATTCTATGATGTAGACTTTTTATTGGTTTGATTTGGGGTTTTTTTGTTTGTTTTTTTGCAGGTTATATAAAGCCCGAAAATATTTGTAGATTGCAAGATTTTTTTTGAGATAATAATTAGCACATATTTGGTTTGGGGAGAACAGGTGAATTCATACCTTTTCCCATGGCTGTTTGCGCGTAACGAACCCGACTGGAATTAGAACTCGGCTCTCCGATTAATAATCCATGACGCCAAAAGCACATCCAAGCGAAAAGCACCTGGTATTTCCAAGTAGTCACATATCTAGGTACTTGTCAGGCTCGACGTTGCTTAACTTCGGTGATCCTGCGAGAACCGGTGTTTCAACGTGATATGGTCGTAAGCACGTTTTTTTTCCCTTAATTCTTCATAAAAAAAACACAATAGAACTGACGAAAGCATATAAGTAATAATTGATTTGTTTTTTTTAAACAGTTTAACAATTACGAGTGTTGAACTTAACTCCAATATATAATTAATAACTAAATTTCAATCAGAAGTTTTAATGTTCGATCTATATGTTTTAAGGAGAGGCGCTGGATTAAGTGCGTTGACAAGGAAAGAGATTATGTTGTAATTAAATTATTTCCGTCTATATTTCTGAGATGATGTATTGTAAGTATTTACATTATTTACATTGTTCGGACTGTTGTCCTCATCTTTATTGCCATATTCACGATGTTTCGGCCGTTGTGCGCCCCGGCCTTCTTCTAACTTGTCTATATTTCTGAGTTGAGTTATTGTAAGTATTTACATTATTTAATTTGTTCGGACTCTTGTCTTCGTCATATTCACGTTGTACGGTCCGGCCTTCTTCAGGTAATTGGAATTTCAAACTGAACCCTTTATTACCAGGGTAGATTGTTCCAGTTCCAAACGCCATGTCTCTTCCGGATTTCTTAGTTATCTCCCTTTGACTCATCTCTTTAAGTTTTTTTTCACTACGATAGTAGTCAGGTATTGAATTCACAACTCTTTGTGTCAAGTCACTGGATTCAACCAACGCTTTTATCCACTGGGCCATGTGTCCTCGAGGAGATAACTGAGCCAACCGGAAGAGGCCTGGCACGTGGAACTAGCTCAATCTACCCCGGTGAACGAAATAAAGTGTTCAGTTCGAAATTCCATTCACTGAAGGAAACCAGAGCATACAACAGCCGAAACGTCGTGAATATGGCAAAGAAGATGACAACAGTAGCCCGAATAATGTAAATAATAAATTATTTGTTGCATAAAATATATTTTTCAGCAATGGGTGACAGACTTATTGATATGCTTTCATTTACTTTAAATTATTCATTATCTATATATCTTGTCACTCCAAGACCTGGGTGGTTATAGATCTCCACATCTTCGTATCATTTGTAACTCTTCATAATGCTTTTTCTTAATCTCCCCCCTCCACTCTGGCGTCCATTCATATAAGCTTATCAGGTAAGTGACCCACTGTCTTCTTTTGTCTCTCTTACGTCCGCTATGCCTTGTGAGTGTCAAATTTTCTAAACCTTCTTTCCTCATTATATGCCTCAGGCTTAAGTGAGTTTTTTGTTTCTATTTTCCTGAAAGCTTCGTTGCTTATTCGCGACTGGAGCCATAATTCCGTAGATTGTTACGTAATTAACCGAATTTTGATGTGAAATGTTTGCTGTCTGATGTTTAGTGAGTATGGGATTAACTTCCATCACTGAACTGACAGCCCAAGGTGCAAGTTACGAATTAAAGATGTTAGAATCAAGTAAGTACCGATATTCAGCTCCCTAGTGAATGTGTTATAATTGAAGACAGATAATGTTACATTGAGATCCAAAGGTGTATTGGAACATCAAAAGAAGCCTTCGAAAAATATTAAGAAACAAGTTGCAAACAAACATGAGAAATGTTCGGAACTGCTACGTAATATATAATCCTTAATATGTCTGCACATGCTCGGTGGACGGGAAGTTGCGTACCGGTTATTTGAACCCCTATACAAATGCGTCCTGGACATTTGCACCCCTTGACAAATGCGTTCCTGGACATTTTTACCGCTAGACAAATGTGTCCCGGGACATTTGCACCGCTAGACAAATGCATTCCAGGACATTTGCACCGCTAGACAAATGCGTTGCTGGACATTTGCACCCCTTGACAAATGCGTTCCTGGACATTTGCACTGCTAGACAAATGCGTTCCGGGATATTTGCAATCCTAGACAAATGCGTTCCTGGATATTTGCAACTCTAGACAAATGCATCCATGGATATTTGCAACCCGAAACACATGCGTCCCTGGATACAAGCAACCCGAGACAAATGCGTCCCTGGACACTTGCAACCGTAGACAAATGCGTTCCTGGACAGTTTCACCGCTAGACAAATGCGTCCGCGGATATTTGCACCGCTAGACAAATGCATCCCTGGAATTGCAACCCTAGACAAATGCATCCTTGGACACTTGCAACCCAAGACAAATGCGTTACTGCACATTTGCACCACCAGAAAAATGCGTGCCTGGATACTTGCAACCCTAGACAAATACGTCTCTGGACATTTGCAACTGTAGACAAATGCGTCCCTGGACACATGCAACCCTAGACAAATGCGTCCCTGGACACTTGCAACCGTAGACTAATGCGTTCCTGGACAGTTGCACCGCAAGAAAAACGCGTCCCTGGGGATTTGCAACCCTAGAAAAATGCGTCCCTGGACATTTGCAACTCTAGACAAATCTATCCATGGATATTTGCAACCCTAGACAAATGCGTCCGTGGACACATGCAACTCCAGACAAATGCGTCCCAGGGCGCTTATACCCCTAGACGAATGCGTTCCTGGACATTTGCACTGCCATACAAATGCGTCCCGGGACATTTGCAACCCTAGACAAATGCGTTCCTGGACATTTGCACCGCTAGAGAAATGCATCTATGGATATTTGCAACCCGAGACAAATGCGTCCCTGGATACATGCAACCCGAGACAAAAGCGTACATGGACACATGCAATCGTAGACAAATGCGTTCTTGGACATTAGCACCCTTAGAGAAATGCGTTCCTCGACATTTGCAAACCTAGAAAAATGCATCCCTAGACATTTGAAACCCTAGACAATGCGTCCCTCGACACTTGCAACCCTAGACAAATGCGTCTCTGGACACATGCAACCCTAGAAAAATGCGTCCTTGGCCATTTCAACCCTAGACAAATGCGTCCCGGGACATTTGCACCGCTAGACAAATCCGTCCCTGGCCATTTGCAACCCTAGATAAATGCGTCCCTGGACATTTGCACCGCTAGACAAATGCATCCATGGATATTTGCAACCCGAGACAAATGCGTCCCTGGATACATGCAACCTGAGACAAATGCGTCCATGGACACTTGCAATCGTACACAAATGTGTTCCTGGATATTAGCACCCTTAGAGAAAAATGTTCCTGGACATTTGCAAACCTAGAAAAATGCATCCCTGAACATTTGAAACCCTAAACAAATGCTTCCCTGGACACTTGCAACTCTAGACAAATGCGTACCTGGCCATTTGCACCGCTAGGCAAATGCGTTCCTGGACATTTCAACCCTAGACAAATGCGTCTCTGGACATTTGCACGCCTAGACAAATGCGTCCCGTGGATATTTGCACCCCTAGACAAATGCGTCGCTGGACATTTGCAACCCTAGACAAATGCGTCCCTGGCCATTTGCAACCCTAGAAAAATGCGTCCCTGGACACTTGCAACCCTAGACAAATGCATCCCTGGACATTTGCACACCTAGACAAATGCGTTCCTGGACTGTTGCACCGCTAGACAAATGCCTCCCTGGACATTTGCTCCGCTTGACAAATGCGCCCGGGACATTTGCACCGCTAGACAAATGTGTTCCTGGACAATTTAAATGCGTCCCTGGACATTTACACCCCTAGACAAATGCGTCCCTGGTCATTTGCAACCCTAGACAAATGCGTTCCTGGATAGTTGCATATTGTTTAATATAGAAATGTGCACACCAATATCTTTAATTACTCTAAACAAGCAGAGAGGTAATTACCATTATATAAAAGAAGAGAGGAAAATTGAGCTAAAAGTTTTAGTTCACTCAAGTAGTGCGTACCACAAACATATATTAAAATCTGGATTTTATAGATTCTATTTTTATTTGAAACCCATGGATAAGTTCCGAAAATCAAACACTGATAGAAAAATATTTGTGGACGAGGAAAATTACAGCTATCATAAGAAAAACGCCGATGAAACAAAAACATACTGGCGATGTGTTGAACGATCTTGCTTGTTCTGTTATTCTGTCATTGTATGTTAAACAAAAATAAACCTTTAATTTTTTTTTATTTCCTTTTATAAAATCATTATGATTACTACCTATGCTTTTTCCAAATTTATGCTAATTGCCTTTAAAAACTTCAAAAAATTATCAGAGGCACGCAGTTATCAAGGGACGCATTTTTCCAGGGACGCAATTGTCTTAGAACCGTAAAGGAGAGTTACCAAATGAGAAAGATGGGCTTAATGCTTCTTTGTGATATTTTATATCTTACGATGTAAATAGTGTAAATAAATGACAAGAAGTGAAGTTCATTGGAAAGATGACGGTTAACCCTAAAGTTGAAGAGGTCAAGATTGTATTGATGAAGAAAGCATCCTGACAGGAGTCTGTTTTTTAAAGTATCAATTCTTGGGAAGAAGCTATCCGAGTGGAACTTCCTTTTGACTAACAGAATACGAACAGAATGGGGATGATTCACAATTGTATACGTGGCATGTCATGACAGGTCCCAGTTCCCAGTTCTAAAGGTTAGGGTCTTTTTACTAATGTTCACCCAATACAAGGCTTAAGAGCTACTCAAGGTAGATGGTTAGTATGTAGTTTTGCATGAGCGTAAGAAATGGCAAGAGGTGAAGTTCATAACGCTATACATAAGAGATAATGGTTAACCCTAGGCGTGAAGGGGTCAAGATTGTAGTGATTGGAGTCTGTTCCACAAAGAAGTACTTCTTGGGAAGGACCTGTCGAGTGGAATCTATTTCTTAATATTGAAAAGAAGGTATGGTAACTTCAAAAAATTATCAGAGGTACGCAATTATTCAGGGACGCTTTTGTCAAGGGATACAAATGCCCAGGAACGCAATTGTCTGTTACGCAATTGTCCGGGTCGCAAATGTCCAGTACGCAAATGTCCTAGAATTGTGAATGCTGCCAGTTGAGAAGGAAACCCGAGGCAACAAAGATGTGGTCCTACAGAAGGATTCTGAGGATATCAGGAAATGAACATGTGTGCAAAAATCGAAAAAAAAAAAAAAAAAAGAAAAAGGTTTAAGAAAAAATGGCAGAAAAGGAAGATTTGTAC